TTGTTTTTTTCAAAATTTCTTGGACACTGGAGCACCACTTCAGATTTTGGCCTTGGACCCTGAAGAGGTTAAATGCATTGCATTTCTGCATAGGGAGAGATGGACACGAGGGATATTAAATAGTGTCTTGTGTTATGCAAGTGCGTTCTCTTGTAGTTCTCGACAATGTTCAGTGTACGTAGTAGGCACAATAATATACATAAGTGGATGTTTTGTATGTTAAGCAGGCTCAAGCTTTTAAATAGTGGTGGGGTGTGTTGCCTGGCATAGGAGTTTGTAATCATTCTCACAGCAGCCTTATGTTGTTTAAGATGATTTGCTGTGGTTGAACCCCCATGTACAAATACCATAAGTGAGGTAAGGGTAGATGAGAGAGCATTAAAGAGCAAGAAGTGCTGTTTGGGGTACATAGTACCATATCTTAGAGAGGATGCCTACTGTTTTGGAGATTTTTTTGGAAATATGCTGTATGTGGGTCTGAAATTTAAGACAGCTGTCAATGTGGAGCCCTAGAAATTTACTGTCAGTGTGTCTTGAAACAGAGGAACCATTTATCGATATGTTTAGCTGAATATTTGCAGCTCTGTTACCAAACAGAATGAAGTAGGTTTTGTTGATATTGAGAATAAGTTTGTTGGTCATCATCCAAGTGGATATTTTTAGCAGCTCATTGTTTACTGTGTTTCTAAGTATGGTTTGGTTTGGGTGAGAGAAGATACAGGTAGTGTCATCTGCAAAAAAGAAGAGGTTTAAATAGTTTGGAGGCATTAGGGAGGTCACTGATGTAAATGAAAAAGAGGGGGTCCAAGAACACTGCTCTAAGGGTAAAGGCAACACCATTTGTGTATATATACTGATGTCTATTGCTAATATATGATTTAAGGTAGTTGAGTGAGTGTCCTCTGACCCCGTAATGTTCAAGTTTTAGGTGCAAGAGATCATGGTCAACTGTATCAAATGCTTTCCGTAGGTCTACGAAGAGACCCAGTGCAATTTCCTTTTTTCCAGTGCCATATATAGTATCTCGAGCATATGTATAATCGCATAATTTGGGCTTTTTCTTGGCCTAAATCTAAACTGGCAGGGGTTAAGTATGTTGTGGGATACAGGGTAGGAATAAACTTGGTTGTGCATTATTTTTAACCCCTTCTCCCGTATAAATTACTAAATTTAAAAAGAGAAACTTTTGTTTTTCTTTTTGGGCCACCCTGCCTTGGTGGGATACGGCCGGTGTGTTGAAAGAAAGAAAGTGTATTATTTTATTGAAGATTTTAGATAGAAAGGGTAGGTTTGATATAGATCTATAGTTAATTAAATCAGTAGGATCCCCTCCTTTGTGGACTGGTGTAACCCTTGCTGTCTTGAGTAGGGATGGGAAGGTTGAAGATTCAATGGACTTGTTAAAAAGTGATGCAATAATGAGTGACAACAAATGAGAAACTTTTTTATACATAAATGGTGGTAAGCTATTTAGGTCTCCTGCCTTGTTCTTTAGTGTTTTGATGATGAGTGAAATTTCAGTAGGGTTTGTTGGGGTTAGGAAAAGAGTATACAGGTAGTTGCCAGTGAGGTACTTTTTGGTTGTGTTCGAGTTTGGAAGTTTGCTTGCTAGTGTTGTTCCTACAGTGGAGTAAAAGACATTTAGTTTGTTGGCAGTATCCATCAGTAGGATTAGAGGTTCATTAGGTTTAGTTAGGTTAACTTCATTTTTTCGAGGCAGTTTCCTAAATCCTAGAATTTCAGAGAGGATTTTCCATGTCTTTTTCATATCCCCTTTTATGTCACAAAATCCGTTTTTGTAATATGTTTTTTGGCCCTTCGTATTAGATTCATATGCACTGACAAGTATCGTTTCATCTATTCCTTCGTAATTTGATCCAGTCTTTACAGTTTTTCATATACATGTTTTTTTATTAATAGAAGTGAGGATGATGTTTGTAAGCCAGGGGCTGTTTAATCTCTTGGCTGAGATTTGTTTTGTTTTTATTGGACAATGTCTGTTACAGAGGTATTGGGTTTTTGCAAAATTTTTTTTAAACATTTGTCAATATCGAGGCTAGGTGCTAGCTCACTTTGCCAGTCAATGTTACTTAATGACAAAATAAAATTGTTAACGGACATTTTGTCATGTAGTCACAGAGAGATCTTACTTGTATCCTGTGGGAGTTTACGTAAGTTTGTTATGAGAAAGGTGGGATAGTGGTCTGTGGAGTTGTGTGAGATAATGCCTGCTCTTAGTGGAGATATAGTGTTAGTCCAAATATGGTCTAGTAGTGAGGCACTTGTCTCAGTGATTCTTGTTGGTGTGGTTATAGATGGTAGGAGTAAGCAGTTGCTCATATTGTTAGTGAATTCTGTTACTTGTGGTTCGTGTTCATGAATGAGGTTAATGTTGAAGTCATCTATAAGTATCAGATAATGTGTTTTTCATTTCTACATCAGTTGTCATGTTTCTCAGGCTTTCGTTAAATGTGTAAATATTTGAGCAAGGTACTCTGTAGATAGGTCCAACTGTTATGGGTTTATTAATGTTTTTAGACTTGAATTTTTCAAATGTATATTCACCATTTTCATCCTTGGTGCAGGTAGATTTTCCACCAAGACAGGGTGGCCCGAAAAAGAAAAACTTTCATCATTCACTCCATCACTGTCTTGCCAGAGGCATGCTTACACTACAGTTATAAAACTGCAACATTAACACCCCTCCTTCAGAGTGCTGGCACTGTACTTCCCATCTCCAGGAATCAAGTCTGGCCTGCTGGTTTCCCTGAACCCCTTCATAAATGTTACCTTCCTTACACTCCAACAGCACAAGAAGTCCTAAAAACAATTTGCCTCCATTTGTTCCTATCTAACATGCTCCGGCACGCTTGCAGGAAGTCCAAGCCCCTCACACACAAAACCTCCTTTACCCCTCCCTTCAACCTTTCCTAGGCCGATTCCTAACCCGCCTTCCCTCCACTACAGATTTATACACTCTTGAAGTCATTTAATTTTGTTCCATCCTCTCTACATGTCCAAACCATCTCAATAACCCCTCCTCAGCCCTCTGGATAATAGTTTTGGTAATCCCGCATTATATTCACACCACACATTGCCCTCAGACATGACATTTCCATTGCCTCCCTTCTTGCTGCAACATTCACCACCCATGCCTCACACACAAACAAGAGCGTTGGTATAACTACACTAGCATACATTCCCCTCTTTGCTTTCATGGGTAAAGTTCCGTCTCCACAGATTCCTCAGTGCACCACTCACCTTTTTCCCCTCATCAATTCTATGATTCGCCTCATCTTTCGAGCTACGGTGTCCCGTAGCTCGATCACCAGCACACTCAGCTCACACACTGAGGTCCAGAATTCGAATCTCCTCCGGTACGGCTGGAAAATATTAGGGATGTGTTTCCATAAGACACCTGCTGTCCCTGTCCCTGTTCACCCAGTTTAAAATGGGTACCAGGGTGTTAGTCGACTGGTGTGGGTTGCAGCCTGGGACAAAACTGACCTAATTTGCCCAAAATGCTCAGCATAACAAGGGGCTTCCTATATAGTACTATTTTATTGATGTCAGCTAGGCCTGTATATCATGTACATGTACTTGTAGTAAATAAAGATATTATTATTATTATTATATTATCTGCTGACACATCCACTCTCAAATATCTGAATACATTCACCTCCTCCATACTCCCTCCCTCCAATCTGATATCCAATCTTACATTACCTAATTTTTTTTGTTATCCTAATCACCTTACTCTTTCTTATACTATTCACTTAATTTCCTTTTTTTACATACCCTACCAAACCCATCAAGCAACCTCTGCAACTTCTCTTCAGAATCTCCCAAAAGCAGTGTCATCAGCAAAGAGCAACTGTGACAACTCTCACTTTGTGTTAGATTCTTTATCTTTTAACCTCACACCTCTTGCCAACACCCAAGTATTCACTTCTCTTACAACTCCATCTATAAATATATTGAACAACCATGGTGACATCACACATCCTTGTCTAAGGCCTACTTTTACTGGGAAATAATCTCCCTCTCGCCTACATACTCTGACCTGAGCCTCACTTTCCTCGTAAAGACTTCACTGCTTTCAATAACCTACTTCCTATTCCATACATTTGCAACATCTGCCACATTGTTCCTTATCCACCCTATCATATACCTTTTCCAAATCCATAAATGCGACAAAAACCTCTTTACCCTTATCTAAATACTGTTCACCTATATGTTTCACTGCAAACACTTGGTCTACACACCCCCTACCCTTCCTAAAGCCTCCTTGTTCATCTGCTATCATGCTCTCCGTCTCACTCTTAATTCTTTCAATAATAACTCTACTATACACTTTACCAGGTATACTCAACAGACTTATTCCCCTATAATTTTTACACTCTTTTGTCCCCTTTGCCTTTATACAAAGGAACTATGCATGCTCTCTGCATGCATAATTTTTCATAATTTCAAAATTTTTCCCCTGTAGTAAGAAATCATCCACTGCCTCTGATGCATACCAATCACTTGCATCTTCCTTTTAACAAAAGAGTGTATAATAAATGAAGAATGTATCTACCCTCTTCCTCCAGTATGACCTAATACAAACTTTAGAATATAACTGCATTCACATTTTAAAAAATTGTCATGAAGACAGTCACCAGGACCTTGTAGACAACAAACACTGAACAGAAAAAGGACAATGCTATTTTCATGGGAACAGCTGAACTCATAGGGGCCAAACAATACCAGGAGAAATGAGAGGATATTAGGTTTGATCCAAGTTAAGGGTGGCTTTAATACCTTGGATCAAGAACCTTTCACCATTCCCTTCAAGGGGAACAATAACTGAGGTTGACAGAAGTAGGGAAATCATGTAACTGATGTTTTAGAAGGTAAAATTTATGGGTTATATTCCTAGCATATCATCAGTTCTATAATACAATAACATCCATATAAGGCGTGATGTTTATAACTGACTGTAACGCCTGTACCATAACACACAAGCTCTATTACTTACCATTGCGCAAGTCGGGTGTCAAGTTCTTTAAGAAACTGTGCATGAAACTCATATATGGGGTCGACTAGTTTAAACAGCTGAGAGAGAACATCATTTGGCATTCCTTCCTCCTTTCCCACCTCTTCTCGCAGCCACTGAAATTTTATTGAAAAGTTTTTAGGATTTTTTTTTTTTTAAGTAAAGTACTATTAAAAGATAAGAAAAATTAGAAGTACACAATGAAGATCAGGAGTTTGAGGCAATCGGTCCCTCAGCCTGGATTCGATGTAATCAGTCCATCAATCTCGAAAAGAAAACAGCATATGTGCAAAGAAGTAGCTTATATACTGTAGACAGGCGAGGTGAAGCAGCCGTTGGCGATATCACAGTGGACAAATCCACATGTTGAAGTAGGTCATGCCTATAGGTTAGACAAGTGAAGAATTCCCTGTATCAAGATCCCAAGGTGCTGCTGTGTCTGACAGAAATGTAGATAAATGGTTCAGAGAACCAACAACTTGATGAATTAGAGACATGTACAACACTCTGGTATCTTTACTGAGGAAACAATTCACCACACAGTAGCTTCATTAGTGTTGTACGTGTGTCTAATTCATCAACTTCTCAGTTCTCTGAACCATTTACCTACAATCTATATTGATTAGGGATGGGATAATACCAATTCTTTTGTCAATAATGATGCCCTCAAAACTGCCCAATACCCACCTTAACTCACTTTTGTGCTGATACTGATATTGGTAATAATGTCTATTCCATAATAAGGTTTTCAGCCTTTGCATCTGGAAAGCTATCTATTTATTTTTTATTAACACATCGGCCATTTCCCACCAAGGCAGGGTGGCCCTAGAAAGAGAAACTTTCGCCATCATTCACTCCATCACTGTCTTACCAGAAGTGCACTTACACTACAGTTATAAAACTGCAACATCAACATCCCTCCTTCAGAGTGCAGGCACTGTACTTCCCATCTCCAGGACTTGAGTCTGGCCTGCAGGTTTCCCTGAATCCCTCCATAAACATTACCCTGCTCACATTCCAACAACATGTCAAGTCCTAAAAACCATTTGCTCCTCTCTAACATGCTCACGTGTGCTTGCTGGAAGTCCAAGCCCCTTGCACACAAAACCTCCTTTACCCCCCTCTCGCCAACCTTTCCTAGGCCAACCTCTACCCCGACTTCCCTCCACTACAAATTTATACACTCTAGAAGTCATTCTATTTTGTTCCATCCTCTCTACATGTCCAAACCACCTCAACAACCCCTCCTCAGCCCTCTAGATAATAGTTTTGGTAATCCCGCACCTCCTCCTAATTTCCAAACTATGAATTCTCTGCATTATATTCACACCACACATTGCCCTCAGACACATCTTCACTGCCTCCAGCCTTCTCCTTGTTGCAACATTCACCACCCATGCTTCACACCCATATAAGAGCCGTGGTATAACTATACTTTCATACATTTCTCTCTTTGCTTCCATGGACAAAGTTCTTTGTCTCCACAGATTCCTCAGTGTACCACTCACCTTTTTCCCTCTCGTCAATTCTATGATTCATCTCATCTTTCATAGACCCATCTGCTAACATGTCCACTCCTAAATATCTGAACACATTCACCTCCTCCATACTCTCTCCCTCCAACCTGATATCCAATCTTTCGTTACCTAATTTTTTTTGTTATCCTCATCACCTTACTCTTTCCTATATTCACTTTCAATTTTCTTCTTTTACATACCCTACCAAACTCATCCACCAACCTCTGCAACTTCACTTCAGAATCTCCCAAAAGCACAGTGTTATCAGCAAAGAGCAACTGTGAGAACTCCCACTTTGTGTTAAGATTCTTTGTCTTTTCACCCCACACCTCTTGCCAACACCCAAGCATTCACTCCAACAATAAATATATCGAACAACCATGGTGATCATCACACATCCGTGTTTAAGGCCTACTTTTACTGGGAAATAATCTCCCTCTCTCCTACATACTCTAACCTGACCCCTCATTATCCTCAAAAACTTTTCACTGTCTTACTTCTGGTAAGACAGTGAAAAGGTTGATGGAAACAGTGCCAAACACCCTGATGACCCTCAACCACCTCCCTCTGGGGTTGGTCTGTCTGGTTCACAGTCAGTTTTACAATTCCATAAGTGTAAGCTTATATTCTCCCATGGCCAGGGCTCTGATGTGCGTATTGGTGATTATTTTGATTTCTTTTCTATCGATGACCATTCGAATAGTGACAGCAAGAAAGAATATTCACCAGCAAACCGTCGATTTATATGACACCACATGCATTCTGGTAGTGTGCCAAGTGCTATTCCAAAGGGATGGAGTACATCCTGGGGTACATCTGGCGGCCCTACACCAGCAACAAACAGTGAAAGTGACAATGAAGCTGCTACAGTTTGGATGGATAATAGACCACATGCATCAGTAGGTGGTGGTGGTGCCATGTGGGTTGCGGCACTAATGCAGTAGTCTGCATAACAGTAAATCTTCTATTTTTTGTGTGAATAAAAATTCAAAATGGAAAACAAGAGTAATATAAGAGGGGCCTGGAGACATGACTAACGAACAGAGAAAATATTATTTTAGTAATAAAGTTGGTAGAATTACCGACAATATGTAAAGTAAAAGGACATAAGTGCAACTAATGTGACATTTTATTGTGGCAACGTTTCGCTTGATAAAGCTTCTGGAGAGCAAAACGTTGCCACAATAAAATGTCACATTAGTTGCACTTGTGTCCTTTTACTTTACATATTATTTTAGTGCCAGTAATATCTGCATTGTTTATTCTGGACTCTATCTTGAAATTGGCATCTTTTGAAATTTGTGTGAAATTGGCCAAATTGCCAATTTCTGACCACTTTATTGGGTAGTTGAAATTGGTAAATGGACAATTTCTTGTATTCTATTGATAGAACAGATGGAGTTCTAGTGAAATAGCTATGAGTTTGGTCGACTGGAGCAATGGAATTGGCCAAAAATAAGGTTCAAAATGGGCAAAATAGATGATGCTTATATATCGCCGAGACCACTAACATCACGAGAGCGTAATTCTGTAAGTTTTCCATGAAATTTCGTACTTTTGATGTCATACCATTGGTAAAAGATTCTCTATTATTTCATTAGAAAAAATAATTTTTTTTTTTTTTTTTTTAAATTCTTCGCCACTGAGAGCAAGTTTGTGAACATGGGTCTCGACAGTGTCCATACCCCTCATCTGAAAATTGTTCTCAGGGTCCAAGAATTTAACCTTAAAGTGTCCAAATGTAGATCTATGTTGTTACTGCTAGCACTCCAAACGAAGATCAACATTTTATTTTTCCTGCCTCCAAATTTGGCACGATTGACCTGAGATGCCTGGTCAGTATAGAATGGGTCTTAACACTCAGTGTGTGCTGTATTAAAAAATCTGGGACCACTTAGTACCCAGTGGGAGCACCAGTTCAGTTGAGCACCAGCTAGAGCAAACAGCTTGGCAAACACCAGGGATTCACTGATGTCATATTAACACTCTCCTTTTAAGAGGAAAGTGATGTTGACCCAGAGTTCAGTGGCTCTGAGATGGATGTGGCCACATGTGGTTGATGAAATATCAAAAACCTTGATAATAACCCATGTGCAACATTTGTGCAACATTTTTTCAATTTTGATACCACTGGTAGTGTCATCTTGCCATGCCGTAAGTAAAGAGAAACAATTCTGGAACATGTGTAATAAGTATTCGGCAGGCCAACTGGCTGGTGAGTAGCCGGCTGGCTGGCTGGTCGACTGGCTGGGTGGGTGGCTGATTGACTTTGGCTCTCTCTCCATATGTATCTCTGTCTCTGTGTATCTCTGTCTCTGTCTATCTCTCTGTCTCTGTCTCTATCTCTGTCTATCTCTGTCTCTGTCTATCTCTGCATGTCACAGGTACACATAAGTAGTTATCATACATAGTGTAAATGCAGACAAAGTGTTATACAGTATAGCACTTTGTCTGCATTTTTTAGGTTATCCTAGGTAATTTACACTATGTATGATAACTATACTTATGTGTACCTGTGAGATAGAGACAGAGATAGACAGAGACAGAGATAGATACACATGGAGAGACAGCCAAAGTCAATCAGCCAGACACCCATCCCAGCCAGCCGGCCACTCACCAGCCAGCTGGCCTTCCGAATACACATTACACATGTTCCAGAATTGTTTCTCTTTACTTAGGGCATGGCAAGATGACACCACAGGTCCGCCATCACAAATCCGGCAATCAGTTATTCGGTTCCTTCAGTTATTCGGCACTAATTTTGGCTAACATAATTTCAAATTTCCAGGTTTGCCACACCAACCTGCCGGTACTGTTTGGTGGCGCTACTTGCTGCGTAAGTCATTCCAATTTCTTTTTCTCCATTTATTGTTTTAACCTGCTTACTTTTAGCCCTAGCCATGGTTCCAATGAATAAAAGAAATGCTTCTCATTATGTAAAGCACCTACACAGTACATTATCCATTAAAGATAAGGTGGCTTTGAAGCCAATGTTGGTTGCCATGAGCTCAGTCTCATGAAGCAGGAGAATATGCTTTATTACACTAATATCAACACTACAGCTTATCTGCCTATCACAATTGATCTAGTATGACATAAGGAACAATATAAATAACATAAAACATGTTAAATACTCCAGAATGAATAATATTTGGCATAACACTGAGCAGTTCGACAGAGTTATGAAGAGGTGGCCTTCAGGTGGCCCGGTGGCTTGGTGGCTAAAGCTCCCGCTTCACACACGGAGGGCCCGGGTTCAATTCCCGGTGGGTGGAAACATTTCGACACGTTTCTTTACACCTGCTGTCCTGTTCACCGAGCAGCAAATAGGTACCTGGGTGTTAGTCGACTGGTGTGGGTCGCATCCTAGGGGACAAGATTAAGGACCCCAATGGAAATAAGTTAGACAGTCCTCGATGACGCACTGACTTTCTTGGGTTATTCTGGGTGGCTAACCCTCCGGGGTTAAAAATCCGAATGAAATCTTATCTTATCTTATCTTACCATTCTCCTATCCTTGTCTTGGGGGCTTATATTAGAGAAAACGGAGTATAGCACAGGGCTAACTATGATATACACTCGTACTCCACCATAAACAT